AAAGACCAAGAGCGAACATAAGAGACAAATTTTAAATTAGTTTGTAAACTAAAAGTTTATTATATAAGAAACTAAAACTCATATAACATGTTTCGATTTTACAATAATGACTATTATACTTAAATAAAACACACAAGTGAGCGATACAATTAATCAATCGAAATAAACCAAATTAATTGAGATTTCCTTTATAAATCGACGGTAACAATTGGACCAATCATAACATACGAACGAAACCATACAAATCACGATGAACCCTAAACACAAATCACACAAATATTCAAATATTATAACATCACAACTAAAATTCATTGAAAAAATGAACTTTCAAACACAAGATAATTACTAATCACCGAAGAACAGCAATAGTTAAACTCAACTCTCAATCTCAGTACATCTTCCTTCGTACATTACGATTTATTCATCATCACGGTCATCATAAAGTTCACTACCACCGTTACTATCTGGTGAAGGAGGAGGAGGTGGCGGATGAAACTTAGGATGACGATGACGTTTTCCAGGATCAGAAGACGAAGCAGCATAACCACACATACCAAACTCACAAGGTGCACCAGAATCACACTTGTTTCCGCATTGCCCGCAATTCGAAGGATCATTGTTCGTGTTTACACAATTTCCATCGCAGCAAGACAAAGCGAACCGACAACTCCGGAAACAGAACCGGCAATGGTTCGGATCGGACAAGACATCAACGCATTGGTTACGACAACATCTCATTCGAGCCATTGGTGGTCCGGATCGTTTGCAAATCCGTGGTTTACACATCGGTGGCTTTGGCCTACCCCAATTTGACGTTGTAGGTGATCTGGTGTGGTTCTTTAGCCATGAAGAAGTTGTGCCAAGTTGGTCATAGTGACTCAGAACTTGAAGAAGAAGAATAGATTTTACGAGGAAGAAGAATAAGAGATGTATTAATAACTTGGTGATGATCATATTGTGATGAGATTAATTAATTAGATCATTGATTGAGATGTATAATTAATGAAAGGGTTTTATATAAGTTTGATGAAAGAGAGTGTTCATGTTTTTCTTGCATGGATGATGATTAATGTTTTATGATGCATGTTACGTTCATCTCCTTTCATGCATTAGAATCTTTTAATTTTATTAATCTTTCACTATTTTTTTTATGTTTTGGACCGCAAGGAGTACATGTATATTATAATTAGTGTGAAGAAAAAAGGGTATCACATGGCAAAGTAGTTGGAAGGATAAAAGTGGGTTTATAAAGCCCACATGAATTTTGCTAAGTAAATTATTTTTTGGGGGTTACAAAAAGTAGTTAAGAAAGTATTGGGTTTACTTCACTTTTTTTATAGGTTATATACTTTGGTCTCTACTAGAGGATGTCATGTGAACACTTATTCGCATAGAGTTTATTTATGATCTTATTACTTTTTTTTTATAAAGTTAACCTAACAATACTTTAAAACAAGAAATGAGTTCATTGATAAAAGAGTGTGTATACATTGGAATCCCAAGTGAAGAAGAAATCAAAAAGAAAAATCGAAAACAAAATCCCAATTTCCAAAACTGCGATAACGAAAATATATATGGCAAACTGTCTAAATGGGCCATGTCATGTGGCCCGTAATCCCAACGTTCGTTCATTCTGTGGGAAATAATTTCAGAGAAATTCTTGTTTTCTGGTTGCCAACATTCGTGAGAGTTAACTATTTCGAGGCTGGAAGAAACAACCAACTCATTTAGTTAAATACTATCATCTCAAAATTGAGCAAACAAATGATTTAGGTGGTACACATTTAATTATGCTTATTCAGATTGTGACAAGTCTATTGGTACTGTTGTGATTGAACCTGACAAATGATTTTGATATATGAGGTGTTAAATTGAGGAACAAATTGAACAAAGTCCATCGATGTCGTGTCGCAATATATATGCATGTATCATGTATGTGGTTTTATTGTTTTTATTTGCTTTTGTTTACGTTTATTTGCTAAAAACTTAATATTAGAAAACCTTTGGTAAAAAAAAAAAACTTTAACATTAATGCGTTTGTGTTGATCGCAACTACAAATGCAAAAATATCCTGTTCTTTAGGGTGTAAATCGCAACTACAAATGCAAAATTTTCTTAAATCAATAGCCTTTGCCATTTTTTACAGATCTTTAGTAAAACATGTAAACAGAAATGTGATTTATTTTAAAAAGGATAAGAGATTAGTTAAAAATATATACATATATATATAGGTTTGAATAACTAATGTATGTAGTTGTGTATATGGTGGTTTGTATTGTCTTTGGTGCTTTAGTATGATTTTATTTACAATTATACGTTAAAATAATAGTAACTACGTAAAAATTATAAAGCACTGCAGATCTAAAGATTTCACCATAACAAATATATATAAATAAACATGTTTATTATATTACCGAACCATGCAGTGATCAACAAATAAAGCCAAGATCTATCGCGCGTATGATCTAAATTATTATTATTATCAAATTGCTATTCACAGGTTTTTAAACAAGGCTGATTAACCCAAAAAAAATTACATATTCGACATTGATTTATCTCCTCAAACAATGAAACGTAATTAAACTCAACCAAAGGATGAACGATAAGTCTTGCTAAATCCGAATTTCGATCGGGCTTACATTTGATATGAGGGTTTATTTATTATTTAATTAGAAAGATACATATTGTCTGAATCTCCATAGACAAAATCACCGTCGTCATATTTATTTATGACCACTATAATCTAAATGTCAAGGAATATTCAATATAACTATTATACGTACGTACTAATGTGAAAGTTCCAAACATATATACGTGGAAACGAGTATGGGTGTAGAAAATATGGGATTAGGATTAGGGCTAGAAGAAAAGCAAGAAAAGAAAAGAAATTATGAAACAATATTCGAAAATAAGAAAGCGTTTTTGAGACACCAAGAACAAGAAGTAGCATGGAAGTACCCAAAGATGGCACGTTTAAAGAGGCTGACCCATTAATCTACATTTTGTTTCCATGTTCAAATAATAAAAAAATGAAAATAGTATGTATAATCCTTAGTTTAAAGTTTGGTGGGCAATCCAACGTGCATAGCTTTGTTGGTCTATTCAATTTCATTGCTTTAAAATCTGAGTAGATATATATGTGTAATAATAATACCACGATTCTTAAAATATATGGTTGGTCGACAAAATTTTATTTTTCTACATTGTTTTTCTTTTAATATATTGTTGGGGTGTTTTTTTTTATGATTTCCATTATTAATGCAAAGCGTAGATAATGTTTTGTTCAATTATTTAAACAAAAAGGTCGACAAAATATTCGTTCTTTCAAATACGTCCTAATTCAATACGTCCTGATTTAGTGAGAAATAAACTCTTAAAATTGCAATAAATTGGTTCATCTTCCAAAATAATTTTGACAAGCAGCGAACCATTGTCTTATAGACTATATAGAACGAACCAAACATTAAGTACGCTCATTCAAAAATTAAAGGCATGTCTACCATAACTACTACGCGAAGCATGTTTTGCCAAATAAATTGATATCAACCACAAGTCAAACAGATTGCACCAAAGCAACCCCGTTACATTGCATTCATAGAAATCATGTATTTTCTCATAAATACTTTTTTTTTCAACTAAGGAAAATGCAAGAACAAAAAAGATAGAGAGACTATAGCTCTGATTGGTTTCAGACTTTTACTGTTAAGATTTTTAAATTAATGGATTTTAAAATTTATGGCTGTAACTTTATTGACTGTGATTTTTAAAAAAAAGTCTTAAATTCTGGACTTTACAAAAAAATGAAATATAAGAAAGTATCTTTTTAATTTCAATCTTGTGTTTCTTCTTGGTTTTATCTTGTTGTATTAGATGTTATATCTCAAATCTGTATTTCAAATCTGTATCTCACTATTTATCTTTGAAGGATTTAATATTATCAGATGAAAAAAATAAGAACAATAAAGGAGTTAAGGACATTCAAACAATGAGAAAGAGATGATATACGACACTTCTCATCCCAATTAGATGTTCAGACCTTATGTTTATATAATAGTATCTATCTTTTAATACAAACTCTATTAGAATCTGAAATAGTTATTAAACAAGAAATACATGGTGACAAATATATCTAAAACTGTAGATATAAGATGATGATCTTTACTGCGTAAAGGTTAGTTATTACAGAATTATACTGTGTGTTGTTAGAATTATAATTAAACAAATTCAAAAGAAACCCATCATCATATTTATTTCATTTTTTAATTTTGTTAGAAAGAAAAAGTGAAATATTATAGATCGTGTGGCTGATGAATCCGATGAGCCGACAGCTTCACTTAGGATACCCTTTGATGTCTTCGTCGTCTCTTTGTTTGTTTCCTAGTCAAAACTTTTTTATATAGCTATAGCTAGAGAAACGTAATTGAGATCTAATTGACTTAACCTTATGCATTGCATGTTCATCAAAACTTTTGTTTTTGTAAAATATATATTATTAAATCGATACGGTAACATTTTAATACCCACTCCATTATTTTGATACTGTTTTTACATAGATATTTTTTTTTCCCAAATACGACATCATTTTAATTTAAAATAAATGTTTTTTTCTTCTTTAGTCATATATTCCCAACGTCTCTCTGCAACACGCACCACCAAGCGAGAGCCACCCATGTAATTTAGGGTAACGCTCCTTACGCGCGACGATGCGCGTGGAATACACTCTCTGAATATACGACGTCGTCTTGGTGTTATACCGTTGACCAATACGCATGGGTTTTGCAAATATACGTATTCATCTACTCATCTCCCCTCTCTCTCTCTCTCTCGTTTCAGTCACAAGACTCACCCAACAAAGCGATTTTGCTTCACGAACTCAAGCTCTCTCTCTCTCTCTTTTTCTCTCTGTGTGTCACGCATTATCGTCTGTGATTCTCGAGCTTTTTTTCGTTTTTCCCTTTTTCGAGATTTTCGCCGGTTCTTCACGTTGGGAAACCTTGTCTATGGGGGTGATTAAGTGGATGAACAGATGAAAGTTACCGGAAAGCCGTATCCGACGGCAGCATTACCGGCATCTGAGTCGGAGACGAATCTGTTCACTAACGGTCCAGATCTTAGGGCTTTACAAAGAGCTACTTCAGTCACTAAACGTAGAGCAAGGAACCCGAGTTTGACTCGTCAGCGAAGATCCGGCGCTCCTGGCGGGAGGCGAAGTCGGCCGGAGACTCCTCTATTGAAATGGAAGGTCGAGGATCGGAACAGAGAGAGAGGCGGCGTTGTAGAGGACGATGATTACGAGGACGATGGAGGTAATAATAATAACCAGGTTGAGAGGGAGACTACGCGCCGCAAGGATCGGAGGAAAACCTCTCGCCCGGTTTCTGTAAGGAAACTCGCCGCCGGGCTATGGCGGCTGCAAGTTCCCGACGCCGCGTCCAACGGCGGAGAGAGAAAGGGGAAAGAGGGGTTAGGGTTTCAGGTATAATTTAATTTTTGGAATTTTCCGGTTCCTCGAGATCCAATAGTCTATAGCATCTGCATTTTGTAGGATTAGCGTATTGATAGTGGTTTGAATGGGAAGTATTTTGAAGATCATCTGAAATTATTGGTGATTGATTAACTTTGGAGTTCAAGTTTCGACCACTGTTCGATGAAATCTTTACCCTCTTTATCTGCATAATCGCTTTATTCCTTCCATGACAATCATCATTAAGCCTACATACCTAAATTTTATGAAGCGCTTTGATTTGAGTTTAGAAGAGACCTGATTGTTAGTACTTTGTTCAGATTCTTAATGATGAACATTTATCCAACAAGAGAATAAAATTTATGTTTGTAAGCTTTCTGTTTTAAGCTACATTCTTGTTGTTCCGCTGCAGGGAGGTGGTGGATACATGGGTGTTCCGTTTCTCTATCACCATAGTGACAAACCTTCTGGCGGTCAAAGCAACAGGACGAGGCAGAACCCTAGCACTATTGCTACAACAAAAAATGGATTTTTGTGTAAGGTGCGTTGATGATTCACATAGGTCTATATGATAGTTGCTAAACAAATAGATGGATATAACATTTACTGTATTTGATTGCAAATTTATTGGTCTAGAATCCGAATCCGAACACCCTGTGTCATTATACTTTTCTTTATATCACCTCCCCCTAGAATCTTACCAATAAAGGTTGTTCCGAGTGAATGGTGTATTTGATTGCGAGTTATTTGCTCTTGTGGTTTCTTTTCATTTTTTTTAACCAAACAAGAAATTCTTGAATGCATGTATTATTGAAGACTTCGGAAAATTTTCTCATATACCCCCAGGCTGCAGAAAGGAATAACTTAAATGAGATTGTTATTATGAATCTGAGAGTTCGAGTTGCTTCTTAGCTAGTTTATGAGGTCTTTGTCAGTCTTACCTTTTTGGGCAGTGAGTATGATAAAACCCGCAAAGTCTTAATATAATTGTTAATTTGGATATCCTAACGCATGCAACATATCTTCTGGTGGGCTATTCCTGTCTGTTAAAGTTCTTTTTATGCTGTGGTAATCTCGTGTAACTTCTTTACGATTTCTTGACCTCAATTCGTTCTATTGTTTTCTTGTCAGCTCGAGCCTTCAATGCCATTTCCCCACTCGGCGATGGAGGGGGCGACAAAATGGGATCCTGTCTGCATGGATACGATGGATGAAGTACACCAAATTTATAGCAACATGAAGCGTATCGATCAACAAGTGAATGCTGTGTCATTGGTTTCTTCCCTTGAAGTAGAGCTGGAAGAAGCACATGCTCGCATTGAGGATCTGGAGAGCGAGAAGCGATCTCACAAAAATAAGCTTGAGCAGTTCTTGAGGAAAGTTAGTGAGGAAAGGGCCGCTTGGCGGAGCAGAGAGCACGAGAAGGTCCGAGCAATCATTGATGACATGAAAGCTGATATGAGCAGGGAGAAGAAAACCCGTCAGAGATTAGAAATCGTCAATCACAAACTAGTCAACGAGCTTGCAGATTCGAAGTTAGCCGTAAAGCGTTACATGCAGGACTTTGAAAAGGAAAGGAAGGCAAGAGAGTTGATCGAGGAAGTTTGCGATGAACTTGCCAAGGAAATAGGAGAAGATAAAGCTGAGATTGAAGCATTGAAGCGAGAGTCCATGAGCCTCAGAGAAGAAGTAGACGATGAAAGAAGAATGCTGCAGATGGCTGAGGTCTGGCGTGAGGAACGTGTCCAGATGAAGCTTATCGATGCCAAAGTAGCACTAGAGGAAAGGTACTCGCAAATGAACAAGCTTGTGGCAGATTTGGAATGTTTCCTTAGGTCAAGAGATATCATTACAGATGTCAAAGAGGTGAGAGAGGCGGAGTTATTAAGAGAAAGCGCTGCTTCTGTAAACATCCAAGAAATCAAGGAATTTACATATGAGCCTGCAAACCCTGACGATATCTTCTCAGTCTTCGAAGATATGAATCTCGGTGAAGCCCATGATAGAGAAATGGAGAAATCTGTTGCTTACAGTCCAATCAGCCACGGTTCGAAAGTCCACTCGGTAACTCCAGACGTAAATCTGAGCAACAAGAAAGGGAGACATTCAGATGCTTTTACTCACCAGGATGGAGACATCGAAGAAGACGATAGCGGTTGGGAAACAGTGAGCCACCTCGAAGAACAAGGATCTAGTTACTCACCAGACGGAAGCATACCTTCCGTGAACAACAACAACAACAACAACAATCACCATCACCGAGACAGCAATGCCTCGAGTGGCGGTACAGAGTTCTTAGGCAAAGGCTGGGAAGAGACAATGACTCCAACGACAGAGATAAGCGAAGTGTGTTCGGTTCCAAGACGGTCATCGAAAAAGGTATCATCAATAGCAAAGCTGTGGAGATCATCAGGTGCAAGCAATGGAGATAGAGATAGCAACTACAAGGTGATATCAATGGAAGGTATGAACGGAGGAAGGGTTTCAAATGGAAGGAAATCAAGCGTGGGAATGGTTTCGCCGGATAGAGGCTCGAGCAAAGGCGGATTCAGCCCGATGATGGATTTGGTTGGACAATGGAGCTCTTCGCCGGATTCTGCAAATCACTCTCATGTGAACCGAGGAGGAATGAAAGGTTGCATAGAATGGCCTAGAGGTGCACAGAAGAATAGCCTGAAGGCAAAACTCATCGAAGCGCGAATCGAGAGCCAAAAAGTTCAGTTAAAGCACGTCCTTAAGCAGAAGATTTAGGAGCCAAACCAATCTTTGATCATTTTAATCCCAAGCCAGTTCTCACCGGGCAGTGATTCTGTATGAAGTAATAATGTTCCGGTGAAGCGGTCGGAGCCAGGGAAGCGGTTTAGACCGGAGTTTAGATTATGTATGTCATTTGGTCATTAGCAATGAAGCAATGTTGTACTCTACTATTGTTAATCACATCATTATGGAAGAAAAACCTTTAGCAGAGTAAGAGAGGCTAATGCTCCTTAGAGACTTATTCGTTAAATTATAAAATATATAGTTAGTTCCCTTTAAATCTACCAATTTTTGGTTTTGATGTTTTTCATTTTCGCTTAGTAAGTTTCAGTTAAGACAGTAATGACATCATATTCTCTATAATCATTAACAAAGAAAATATTAATTCTGTTGGTGTTATTTTCAAAATTGAACATAAGATCCTCTGACATTATTATTAAGTCACTGCTAAATTTTGAATAATAAAAAAAGAAAACTTGTGTTCTTAAAACATAAAATTATGTAGAGACATAAAAAGACAGTAGATGTTCCCTGCAGTAAAAGTGGAACTTTTTTTGTTTCCAACCCAAATAAAATGAAGACAAATAGGTTCAATTTTTTCATGACTTTATTGGTGAGACAACAATGATGTTCCTCCTACAGAGAATACAGTACAACAAAAGGATGAAACACAACAGGTGATAATTGTACAACAGACTGAATTTGAAATTGTTGACAGCAGAAAAAAAATAAAATTAAGCACATAATAAACATGTGTAATTTACTTTCCCCCTTTATCTTGAAGTTGTTGTATAAAAGAATCGAATCAAATCTTTCTCTTAATTGTATTCTTGAAAATTGACATGACCAGTCGCTTGAGCATGCTCCACAGCTTCCTGTTTCAATGATTGGTTTCACAATTCAAGCTCTATGATCTATGAAGTAGAGATAATGAAGAACTGAGAAATGAGATAAAAGTAAATGACCTTTTGTCCAATAACTCCAATTTGGCATACACCGCAACGCAGAGTGAAGTTTGCGGTATCTGTGTAACTCCTTTTCCTGAAACAGTAACCAAATCTCAGGGCTTAATTCTTTTTCCTTAAGCAACAGATTCAACAAAACTATGTTTCACACCACTTATATTACCTTTGTTGGTCTTTTACAAGATTCATAACAAGCCCTTCGATAGACCCTATGGACCTATCTTTACCAACTGGAAATATAGTCATATCGAAATCTTCCTCTGCTCCTTCAAATGGAGACAGCTGAAAAAGAAGTAACAATTAAGAAACCAGTTTGGTTATCAGGTTATTTTTCTCAAATGGTGAATCTATGAACTTACAGCGAGAGCATCGTAGTGAAGACCGTCATAGATCAGCATCACTCTCTCGTTGTAGTTTTTCGTCTGCAAAAGGGAAACTACTGTTTAGTACTTTCGAAGTTTTTTTCTTTTGTATTTCCAGAACTTGGATGTTTGGGAGAGATTGATGATACAGTACCTCTCCATACAAGTCACATCGGCTAGTTTGAATATCGTAAGCTCCAATTTCTCGACCATAGTAATCTGCTAATATCGAAAGCTCAATTGCACCTATATTCAAAAAACACAAGAACATGGAAAGACACTTATCAACACAACATGACAAACCTTACAAGCATCAGGTACAATCTTAACCATGAAGAGACATTTAATGGCATATCTCGCCTGATCTATAGACAAATTCAGTCGAAAAGCCATACTTAAAAGCAATTATGAAGATGTTGAAGAACAATCTAGGAAAAGATACCTCCCCACTTGTCCGGATTGAGAATCCAAGCACAATACTCTTCATTGTTCTTCCCTAGAAATGCTTCGTTATACGTCTCCTTGTCGCTTGCAACTGCTGCAGCTATCACCTAAACATAATAGCACCAAACTAATGTTTTATTATCAGAACATCAACAAAAATACTCATTCATGTGGGAACATTACAACATTGATCTACTCTTAAGTATTAGTACTACTTTCAGATTGTTTTCAATTGGATATTAACCATATCGAGATCGACTTTAAGAACGCTATCTGATTATAGATACCTTAAAAAGCTGATAACTACAAACTAAAAGGAGCTAAACATTAATGGCAGCTAGCTTTTTAACTGATAAGAGAAGCTAAAATAGATGGAGAAACCTGTCTTAGCTCATGAGCTTTGTTTTTGTCCTTGTCCATGACATAACTGTAAAAAAAGAGAAAACCTAAGAAAATCAACACAAGCCTCAAAACATTTTACCTATAAACTTCAAAATAACTCAAACGCTTATTTACCCGACTGCGTTGAAGAGACAACTGTTGTCAGATGGTATAACTCTTCTCACAATGACTCCTTCCATGTTGCAATCTCAAAGATTAAACCTATTTGCATTCCAAAAACTCAATTGTTAAACTTAGATCCAGAGTCGATTCTTGCAACTAATAACAATATCAGGAGAAATCAATGAATTTATAATTTGCAAAAAAAAAAACAAGATCTTTACGCAAGGAAGATGCAGAATTGGATGATAAAACTTGAAACTAAGCTAGTTAAACACAAGAATGAAGAGTCTTGATCAGATCTAATCTAGCACCAAACCTTATCTAAAAACTCAGATTCGAATGCAACCAAATCAGATCCATAGACCACAAGCAGTATCACAAGAAAAAAAAACCCAATCAAAGCAACGGTACTATAAATTTTCGCAAAATTCAGATATAAAGTTTGCTTTTTGAAAATACCCAGATGAATATCAACACACCAAAGGCGATGAAAGCAAATACCTTTGGTCAAAAAAAATCTTGGTTATAGAGAAACAAAATCCTGAGATGGGCCATAAAAACTCAAACTTTCGAACCAAAAATGGGAAATTCCAGAATACACAGAAAAAGAATAAAATAAAAAATTTTAATTGGATCCACCGAAACCAGAAGCATAACACGTGTGCGCATTTACACACACATATATATATAAATGCATATGCGCCTGAGAAATAAAGTTCGACGAAGAAGAACTCACCGTTGGGCAAGAGATCTGATTCTTGTTTTTCTGCCGTTTGATTTATTTTTGGTGTCACCGTGTGGCTTTTTCTCTTTCTTTCTTTTTTTTACTGTTTTTTTTTTGTGTGCAACTTAAACTGTAAAGAGAAAATACAAACTAGTCGACGGTAAATACATAGGGTTTCTGTTAACTTAATAGCAAAATAGTAAAATAGCTCAATAATAAACTAGCAGAATCAATAAAACGTGTAAACTGAAAACTGAATAAACTCAAAACGCTAAAAAACTAATACTATATCTATTAGATGAATGCATTTTTCTCTAAACTAGTTATAAATTTAAAACGTCGAGAATGATTTAAAAAATAGCGTGTCAATTTTTACTTTTTATCATTCAATGTTTAATATTGTAAATGATATGTATTTAATGAAATCACATATTTAAAACGTAAATACGGAAAAAGCTACATACCATTTACCCCAAAAAACTGTTTTTACTGTTTTTATACTGTACTTGTGTTCTTCTTTCATCATCAACCTAGCCTTTTTTTTTATCTCTCTAATATGTATTGAATCCACTTAATTAGATGACATGAGCAGTAAAAACAATCCATGAGAGTGGAATTTTGCTAGTTTCTTATGCTTATCACTCGAAATTTTTGTTTGTGACCAAAGTCTACATCTCGTACTCTTTTGCTCTTATCAAGAAAACTATTAGATAAAATGATTTGATATAACGAGTGTTGTTTCCAACTGAATCAGTATGGTATTATATTAGTTGCTCATCTTAAAAAGTGTTGCAACTCAAAAAGAATACATTATGAAATCTAAACTAAAAAAACAAACTCTAACTAAGTATTTTTTTTTATATAATTATAAATCCTATTAAGTAGCTATTGGATCATAACACCAAAAAGCATAACCCCTTCTTTCTTCTCCACTGATTTGGTTTCTTCATCTTCTAACTTCGAGTTAAAGAAGTTTTCTGTTTTCAGTTCTTTCCCACAACTGTTATAAACAGTCTTGTTTACTTTCCCATCAGCTGGGACAACGGAATCGTCGTCTGAAAAGAAATCAATATCGATCATTATAAAGCTATTGCTTTGATCGTCTAATGTCGTGACATTGCTCGGGAGTAGGACTTTGCACTTGTAAAAGACGATAACGTCGTTCTCCTTGAGTTTCTTCTCCTTCACGAAACCGTTCCATCCTCTTGTGAAGACAAAGCTCTGGCTACTTCTCCAGTAACAATACCTAAACTTCCATTGTCTCATATCTCTGTCGTAAAAGACAAGCTCAACCTCTTTATCTGTTTCTCCTGCTTCTCTCTTTTTTTGATCATCAATTATGGAAGGTAGATGCTTCACTGCATCCTTCTTAGGTATCACAAGCCTGTTGAGTTTCCCTACATCGCTTGGCGTCAGCTTCTTTCGAAAAAGATGCGTCCACGAGGAGCCGTTGTTCGATTCTTCGTCTCCTCTATTGATAATCGCGACCATCTGAAATCGCTCCCTGAGAAACTTTCTGAACTCGTGTTGGTAAGAACCGTCTCTGATCATGTTCAACACAACTTTTGTTTTTATGTAGCGTGCTTGAAATTCCGGTTCGTGGATGGTGTATTCAGACAAAGGGAAGTTTCGGTGCGAGTTAGCGTCGACGGTTCGGAGCAGGATCGACGCACTGTCGTAAGCCGAGGCGGCTTCAGCAGCGGATTTGAAAGTGCCGAGCCAAATCCTTTTGTGGTCTGTGTATATCTGAGCACCCCAGTGACCGTTCTGTTGCTGAACCACTCCCTTGAACTTTACGTTGCCTGAAAACGCAACCTTCTTCGTTGCTGTCGCAGCTAGGGCGTTGTCAAGCGCGTCGTCAAGGGGTCTCATGCGTTTCTTGAGAGGTAAGAAACAGTTGCTTGAGCCTGAGGTTTCCGACTTTGCAGCGTCCATTGTAACAACAGAGGATTCCAGAAACATAGCAATAGAAAAAGAGAGTTTTGTGTTGAGAGAAAACAATGGAGAAATTAGACAGAAGATTAGAGAGATATAAATTCCAGGAGTAAATCTTGGGAATTAGTGGTATGTTTCTTATTCTGTTGTTGTTGCGTTGCATGAGTATTTAGCAAGCAAACACTTTTCCTTTTTTAATTCTTATTGTTTCTATAATTGGCAGATGGAAATATTGGGATTATAAACGCGTTACCTTATTGGTAACATGTTTTACTTTTTGTTAAAAGTTTACATTAATTGTTTGATATATTTGATTCGTAGAAAATGTAAACTAGCCGCGAGATTGATATTAGCTGGAATAATGTCAACTTTAACTAAATTAGGGTTTTTATATATCTCAATTTAGTCATTAACAAAACTTTTTTTTTTCTTTTATCCCATGTGGTTGGTTGTTGTAAGTTATGAGTTATGACTTACGAGTAAGTGCCATTGATACGTCAAAGATATATACTTGATTGCTAATATTTTGTTTTTTTTTGTTTTTGAATAATTGTAGTTTTTAAAACATTTTTGGTGGCTTGCATCTTTTCTTGGTTAGTCCAAGCTTGCCATAGTGGTAAATTTGATGGATGGCACCATGTCATAAAAGAATGTGATTAATTGTTTCCAACACAAAATATTTAACTACTTGTCTACTTGACATCCAAGTTTTTAAATTTCCTTGATGGTTTGTTTTGAAGCAGCAAAGGAAAAAAGGGACGAAGGCACGAAGCAAGATCAGCTCCCACATTATCCGGCGCTTTGGATTCACGAGTCATTTTGATGGTTTTAATTACTTATTCGTTTTAAGAGAAAAGGGTGAGGATAAACTTTAGAATTGATTGTTTCTGTTCCAAGTTCCACCAAATATTTATTTTCATTTATGATAAACAATCAAAATTAAACTACCGATATTAAACATTTTCATTTGACATTGACACAACAAAAACACACACACACAAACAAAATAGTCAATAAACAAATACATAAAAAAACCTCTAATTCCCAAATCCAATACTGAGGTGTCTTCTGCCTTCGCCTTATCGGATGAGTAAGAAGAGTGGTGACTGAGAATTAGAGGTTTTATGTACTTCTTTCTTGTTTACCGGGAGGAACATCAGTATTGGATTTGGGAATTATAGGTTTTTTACGTATTTTTTTCTTGATTATTTTGTTTGCGTGTGTGTGTTTTTGTTGTGTCAAATGTGCGTGTGTGTTTGTTGCATTGTGTCAAATGTATTAAGATTTTTTTTTTTGTGTGATTTGATGAAGGAGCGAAGTTAGGGTTCTAAACAACATTATAAAAACTGGACGGAGTAAGGCTTAAAATCATATGTCAACGGTCAACCGGATTCACCACACTTTATAAATTTCATTTTCTATGTGTTTTAATAGAATTACGGCTTTGACTTTAGGTAATTTAGTTCTTCCAATCTTTTTATTATTAATGCTGTGTAAACTAGTGCTGCGATTTTTTTTTCTTTAAATTGTTAGTTGTAGTATTTGCTTTGGAGAATTGATCAGAGAGAAGAGGGGGATAACTTTTTTTTATGAAATTAAGATTTTAGTACAATATTGTCAACTGATATATATTAATACTATGTTTTCTTAATTTCATCAGGAAATCAAAATTTTAAATTATATATAAGCCAAATAGCGTCTCATGCTATTGTTCAAGGCGCAAATTCTACCTAATTAAAGGAAAAAAGTAGCTATTGGATCCTAACACCAAACAGCATAAACCCTCCTTTCTTCTCCTCTGATTTGGTTTCTTCATCTTCTAACTTGGTGCTATATAAGTTTTTTGTTTTCCTTTCTTCCTTATAAGGACTGATATGAAGTACAGTCCCGTTTACTTCCTCATCAGTGACAACGGAGGAATCGTTGTCTGAAAAGAATTTAACATCAATCATAAAGGACTCGTTGCTTTCACCTTCTAATGTCTTGTCATTGCATTTATAAAATACGACAACATCTTTCTTCTTAAGTTTCTTCTCCTTCACGAAATCCTTCCATCCGCTGGTGAAGACAAAGCTCTGACTACTTCTCCAGTAACAATACCTAAACTTCCATTGTCTCATTTCTCTGTCGTGAAAGACAAGCTCAACAGGTTTCTCATCTCCCACTATTTCGCCCTCTTCTCTCTCGTTTTGATCATCGCTTAGAAGAGGAAAGTACTTCACTGCATGCTTCTTAGGTATCACAAGCCTATTCAGTTTCCCAACATCGCTATGTGTCAGTTCCTTCCGGAAAATCAGCGTCCACGGGACACGTTTGTTCGATTGTTCATCTCCTCCGTTCTGTTTTGGTCCCACGATGTTGTTGCTGCCGACAACGTGAGATCTGAGAAAAGTTCTGAACTCTTGTTGGTAAGAACCGTCTCTGATCATGTCCAACACTTGTTTTGTCGAGTGGTCTCCTTGAAATTTCTGTTCGTGATCGTGGACCGTGCGATCAGATCAAGGGAAGTTCCGGTGCGAGAAGCTTCGGAACAGGATCGACGCGCTATCGTAAGCCATGGCGGCTTCAGCGGCGGAGTTGAAAGTGCCGAGCCAAATCCTTTTTTTTTCAGTGTATATCTGAGCCCCCCAGCGATCGTTTTGTTGCTGAACCACTCCCTTGTAATTTGCATTGCCTGAAAACGCAAACTTCTTTGTGGCTGTGGCAACTAGGGCATTGTCAGGTGCGTCGTCAAGAGTTCTCTTGCGTTTCTTGAGAGGCAAGAAAGAGACGCTTGAGCCTGATGAAGTCTCCGTCTTTGCGTCGTCGTGGATATCCATGGATATTAACAGGGGATTTACGGAACAGAGAGAGAGAGAGAATCAAAAGATAATGACGTTGGAAAAAAATAAGAAAGACAGATATTTGCGGAGAGTAAATCGGGGCCGAAGTATTTATCGAGTAATCAGTTTCCATTTTTTCAGTTGTTGTTGTGTCTATAATTTGACGATGGAAAAATGGGCATTTGCAAAGTTTCCTTTTTGGTATAGAAGGCTTCGTTCATTTCCTTTTTGTTGAATGTTTGTCATTAATTACTTGCTATATTTGATTGGTAGAAAAGTAAAAAGTCCAGCTGGTAAATATTGTCAAGTTAACTTCGCGTTGAGTATATTGCTTTTTGTTTATTTGTTTCGTGTTTTCTGATTGGTTAAACTGAAATATGTAACTTATTTTTTTATGTAATATTGTAGACCGACAAATTCAAGTGGCCGTTTATTAACATATAAAAATTAGGGTTTTGTAATGATCACAAAGCGCGATAGGTAAATCCAAGTGGGCGTTTGGTATTCGCGATGACCAAATTAGGGTTTTGTATTCTAGTTAGGGCAACCAAATTAGGGTTTTGTATAACAAATTAGCGCAACCAAATTAGATAGAAAGAGGGAGGAGATAACGGCTGATCTGAGACGCCACTCTCTTAATTTGTTGATCAATTTTCCTGATGGATGGTTCTACAATGGTTTCTCACGTCCAAATACAGAAACTATGAAGAATGGCACAAATGTAAATAATGTAACTCTTAAATGGACATGGGCTTCCTTTTCCTTCACCAACTCGTAGAGGCCCACTTGGATACTGATCGTAGATAAATTGATTTTTTGTTTTCATTTACCTCATTTTCATTCTGCTATGTAGAGATTTTCTTTCTCATAATTGCAATCATAGTTACAATTCATAGATGTTTGACCCAATTTTTTTTTTAATATAATTTACAGATAAATTAATATTTTTATAATTGCTAGCTAGCGCTATATATGAAGATTTTTGAGATAGCAAATTTATGAAGGAGTAGAGGCATTTTTACCAAATGTATATTTGAGCACACATGTATCATTCTCCAAAATAGATTAGTAGAGGCATCAGTTTTTTTTTCTTCAGATTTTTACTTTATTTTATATATAATTTATGTCCTCTAGAATCGTAATTGATAACTGGTCCCCCAAGTGAACTTGTTTGTTCCCAACAAAATCTTATACCATTATAGATATAATCCAGCATTGGTATCTTCTCCAAAAGCTCATAGTTGAATGGAGAATCCTGAGCATCAACGTTCTGACCTTCACCTTGAGCAGTCACCTGAACTTCAACTTGAGCAGCTGCGTGGACTTCAACCGGGTGATCCATCACCATAGCCTTGTTCTGATTTTTAACTTCAATGTTGTCCATATGCTTAGCGTCATTCTGAATTTCAACCAGGGAGCAGCCTTGATCACCATATGCTTAGGATTACTTGGTTCTTTTTCATTCGATTTTTTACTACATGCAACCATTTTTAGAAATATTTATGCAATCAAATGATTTTTGTTTTTCAATCTTCCTTATTTATTGATGAGTCCTAATACTAACTTATTTGTATTTATCATCTTTTTCTTAGGTAGCCAAAATTAAAGACAGAAATAAAATTAGCATAACGAAGAAAGAAAGAGATTGCAGAAGAAGAGCTCATCAAATTAGTAGCTAAAAGGCATGTGATGGTTGAGATGAAAGCATACGACGTTTTTGTTGATTGACTATGAGACAACTAATGGTGGTTATGGTAATGTTATTAGGCAATGCAGTTTAGAGAAATATCCAAATGAATTGACTTGTTTAAATTTATATGTGTTTGACTGTATTGTATTCATCAAAAAATGCATTGTTTGTTCAAAAATTTCACGTTTGAATGAGGAACCGCTACCTTGTAGTTCTTCAGATGAAGAAGTTAGTACTGGTGTATCAAGTCCAAGCAAGGGAAAGTAAAGAAAGGGTCATGCAAAACCTTTTGGAGGCAAAGTGGTATGAATGAATCGTATTATACTTGTATAGAAATGTTCATATTAAAATACCAATTACCTAATGGGATGCTTTCAATGATGAGGTTAACCCTCGTATGCCACATATTGTGGATGGACAAAGGTAAATTGTATAATATATATTTTTATCGATTAACCAAAACAGAAAACAGTATAGTTAATAGTATCTAAAGTCATATAAAAATAATAGTTTTACTATATTTTATAGGATGTTCCAGATACGTTTAAAAATGTGAGAAAGACGTTAAGAAGAAGTTAATACCAAAGACAACGACGGTTAGGATATAAGACATATAGTTTCTTTTAGAAGCATAATTAATAGTTAAATCTATTTTATGATATCTACCATTTGTTTATTTTTCCTTTTATAGAGCTTTGTTGAGCCATGTAGACAACGTTTATAACGGCACAATAAGAAGACACAATGGAATCACCAAGTTTTTGGTAGAAAAGGTCCAATTAAGGAAGACACTTGTGAGTTCACAGGTTCCATCCATGTATGTAAATGTAATCATGAAAGACCATACGCTGAAGTGGTAAGTCGTCTTTTTGTACAGGTACTGTATAATTTTCAATATTCTCTAACTCAGTGTGGTGTTCATTTCAAACTGATGCTCATATTTTGGTTTGAATCTTTTTTTATTTTGCATTGCTAATAACTCTCTTGCTTCCCCTTAATTGATACAAGGTTGATTTCGGTTTAAGAGTTCTAACCGAATACAACCGTTTTCAGAGAAAGTCATATCTTCAAATAATTTTGTTTGACGATTTATTTGTTGATGAATCATGATATTAGATTAAAATTTTATCATAATGTTTTTCTTAAGTAACCAAAATCAAAAGCATGAAGAAAAAAAAGGCATAGCGAAGAAACAGTTTGCCAAAGAAAACTCATCCAAATGGTAAAAGGCTCGTGGTGGTTAAGATGAGAGCGTTTGACAGCCTAGTAGATTGTCGTCCGGTTACATATTGTGTTAAATTTGGACCTTTACATTAGAAAAACATATAAAGAGATAGCTACATATATTTTACATGTGGATTTGATTTGATAGAACAGTGTTTACAAAGGGCCATGGGAAGTAGAAAGACTGAAAGAGGTACGAACATGCAGTTGATTAATTCGGTTTGAGATATATATCATACTCTATTTTAATGAAGGAGTGTTATTTTAACATATTCTACACAAATTAAGAAAAATTAAAAAAGTTTGGTTGTACCTTTTTTAATATATATATACTAAACAAAGGTTTCTCTAATTAATACATTAGATTAATAAAGTTAAAATTAGATTTTAATTTAAAATTTTGTAATGAAAATGTAAAGTAACACCTTTTGTAAAACAAAGCTCCGATTGGTGACATGTATTTTTAAAGTTGAGTTAGAGTTGATGTTATAGTTCGATGTAAGTTGCAGTAAAATTATATGATAAAAACAGTAAAATTATGTGGTAAGTTTGTTGTAAAAATTTAAGTTAATATTTTTATTAAAATAGATGATTGGTATTTTTGTTGTATAAATTGCAGTATGTATTATTTAAAATAAAATTAAATAAAAGTGTTAAACCTGATATTTTTATAAATTATAATAATAAAATTAAATAAAGAAATTAATACTAATTTGAAATTCATCAAACTAAAAAAATATTTTAGATAATAATAAAAAACAGATCTTAAACTTTTTAATGTTGTTTATATATTAGCTAAAAGCATTCGTATATATATATGTATAATATTATTTGATTAATTTTTTATAATACCAAATAAAAACAATAATTAATTATATAAGAAAACTTAATGTTGGATAATTCAAATGTTTACAAATATTATTGACAAGTAATGTTAAAAAGATTTTCGAGCCGATTTTAATCAACAAAATAGATTATAAAAATTAGAACTATTTAAAAGATTTTATTAACAAACAAAAAACTACACTAATGCAAAATAAATATCTAACTCAACTTGTAACTCACCACAATTACCATGATTTAAGAATTTGAGTTGAGTTATAAATTTTACAAAGACATAACTCAAAATTTTAATGCAACCATAACATATTGTAACTTAAACTCTAATGCAAAAAAAACAAAAATAATGCATGATTGGTAACATTTATGAGTTATACTTATAACTCAAACTAAATCAAAGATACCACATGTTACCAATCAAAGAAAACAAAACTCACATTTTGTGAATCAGCCAATTTGTTATGATTCAAAAAGGTCATAGTATAAAATGACAAAAATAATTTAAAATCAAACATGGTTGAAATCACATGTACATAAGAGTTACCAAAATACACAAGTGAAGAGTTAATTCGCAAAGCTCCAATAAAAGAAGGAAATAGTCAAATAGGGTTTCAGGCGAGAGTGTCTTCCTTTCCTTGGTTATGGATACGCAGGTCGTCGACGACAACAAATCTGAGGAACCTGATCTCAAGCGTCAGAAGTTAGAGATCGGTAGTGACGGTGAGTGGGAACGCGATGAGATGTCGTCCGGTGAAGGGGAACCAGATGAGATGTCCGGTGAGGAGGAGTGCGATGAGATGTCCGGTGAGAAGGAAGGGATGATGATGTCGTCGTCGTCGTCTTCGTCGCCGTGTTATTATTCTTCGAGCAGCGAAGACTCGCTGGGTTACACTTCGGAGGATTCTCGATTGTACAAGGCAGAATTTGAGAGAAGCGGGGTAATGATTACAATATATATATATATATATATATATATATATATTCTTCGATTGTTGAAGTATGTTTTTGTGAATTTTTGACTCGAAATAAAGGCGTACGACTTTGACCCCGAGAGAGGAGGAGCCATTAAAGTTTACCATCGTGTTGTCTTCGAGAACAACGACTATGCCACACCACCGGAGACAGACGGAGAGTTGGTTGAGCGATTATCCAGGGCCGCTCTTAAGAAACACAATGATGATAAGGTTTTGTATGTTAATTTTGATTACACGAATGATCCAATTAGGTTTGATTATATATGCTC